AGTATTGCTTTGCCCATAGCTCCTTGTCTTGGGTGTCACCATTCATCATGACTAGTAGCTCATGGAATAATTAGCATGAGACTCGAAGCACCCTTTTCCTATACTAGGGTGATAATCGTGCCATTTGTCACAGCAGAGGCTGCCTGGTTCTCAGAAGTTATGATAAAATTGGTGGTAACAGACAATCTTCGTACAATCTTTGTTCAGTGGGCTGACCAGGCTCTAACACTGAAATAGCAGCAATGATGCTATGGAGAGGAGCTCACGCTTGGAGCCAAGCAAGCTTGTGGCTTGTCCACCTCACCATGTGTGATCTGGACAAGCTCTCTCACCTCTCAGAGGCAGCATGGGGTAATAAGAAGAACACAGCCTTGGAGATAGGCCAGTTTCTACCTTCTACCTGTGTTATCCTGAGCAAGGCTCTCTCTCAGTTCTTTTGGCTGAGTTGTAAAACGAGGAAGCAGCAACATGATGGGGAAGTGAACATGGGCTCTGCATCAAACCAAGTAGGTCAAATTCTACCTTTGTCACCCCTTAGGCTATGACTTCTGGGATTACTTAGCTCTTAGAATCTCAGCTTTCTTATATACAAAAGGAGCTAATGATATTTACCTCCTAGAATCATTATGGAGATTAAATGATGAGATAATCCATGTAATATCCTAGCACTTAATAACAAAAGCCAGCCTGTAACAAAAGCCAACTTTAACAAATACTTCATGAGCATTTTAACATATTTTCAATAACTCCATTAGGTAATGTTATTTTTAACAGTTTTACAGATGGGAAAGCTGTAGCTCAGAGGTGTTAAGTAACTTGCTCCAGTTTTCAAAGTCAGCAGGTAGCAAAATTTGAAGTCAGTCCTCTCACCCTGAACCTCATGTTCTTAACCACCAGGCTTTCTGTTACTCTGACTCTTCAAAAATGTTGCCAGTTATCCTGATTCTTCAAAAAGATAAACAAAATTGATAAGCTTTTAGGTGCACTCACCAAGGAAAAGAGAGAGAAGCAAAATATATAAAATCAGAAGTGAAAAAAGAGAACTGACACCACAGAAATACAAAGGATTATAAAAGACTACTACAAAAAAGTGTATGTCAACAAATTGAAAAACAGCAGAAATGGATAAATTTCCTGGAAATCGACAATCTTCCAAAACTAAATCAGGAAAAAATAGAAAATCTGATTGTCACTAATAAAATTGAACCAGTCATCAGAAAACTCGCAACAAACAAAAGTCCAGGGCTAGATGGATTCACAGGTGAATCCACCAAAAAATTAAAAAAGAGCTAATATCTATTTTCCTCAAACTATTTCAAAAAATAGAAGATGAAGGAAGGCTTCCAAATACATTGTACAAGGCCAGCATTACTCTGATACCAAAACTAGACAAACACACCACAAAAAAGAAAAATACAGATGCAAAAATCTCTGATGAACACATGCGAAAATCCTCAACAAGATATTAGCAAACCACATTCAACAACACATTAAAAGGATCATTCACCATGTTCTAGTGGTATTTACTCCAGGGAAGCAAGAATGGTTCAATATTCACAAATCAATCAACATGATACACCACATTAGCAAAATGAAAGATAAAAATTGCACAATCATCTCAATAGATGTAGAAAAAGTATATGACAAAGTTCAAATTCATTAATGATTAAAAACTCTCAACAAAGTAGGTTTAGAGGGAATATACCTCAATATAATAGAGGCTATATATGACAAACCCACAGCTAACATCATGCTCAATGGTGAAAACTGAAAGCTTTTTCTCTGAGATCAGGAATAAGAAGACAAGGATATCCACTCTCACCACTTTTATTTATTTATTTATTTTTTAATTTTTTTTTTTAAATTTATTTTATGATAGTCACAGAGAGAGAGAGAGAGAGGCAGAGAAACAGGCAGAGGGAGAAGCAGGCTCCATGCACCGGGAGCCCGATGTGGGATTCGATCCCGGGTCTCCAGGATCGCGCCCTGGGCCAAAGGCAGGCGCCAAACCGCTGCGCCACCCAGGGATCCCTCTCACCACTTTTATTTAACATAGTCCTAGAAGTCCTAGTCACAGTAATCTGACAAGAAAAAGAAATAAAACATATCCAAACTGGTAAGAAGGAAGTAAAACTGTCACTGTTTGTAGATGACATGATACTATACATAGAAAACCCTAAAGACTTTACCAGAAAACTATTAAAAGTAATAATAAATTCAGTAAAACTGTAGGATACAAAATTAATGTACAAAAAGTTAGTTCTCCTTTGTACTTGTGTCTCTAAAATTAGGATAATTTGATTCATAATAGGATTGATATAGAATTAAAACAGATAATTTATATAAATCCTCCAGCATCACATTTGCATACCGTAAGAGCGGTGTTATTAAAATGTCCATACTACCCAAAGCAACCTACAGATTTAATGTAATCCCTATCAAAACACAAACAGAATTTTTCACAGAACTAGAACAAATAATCCTAAAATTTTCATGGAATCACAAAAGATCCCAAATAGCCAAACCAGTCTTGAAAAAGAACAACAAAGCTGGAGATATCATAATTCCAGATGTCAAGATATACTACAAAGCTGCAGTAATCAAAACAGTATGATACTAGCACAAAAATGGACACATACAACAACAGAACAGAATAGAAAGCCCAGAAATAAACCCACACTTTTATGGTCCACTAATCCACAACAAAGGAGGCAAGAATATACAATGGAAAGAAGGCAATTTCTTCAACAACTGGTGCTACGAAAACTGGACAGCTACATGTGAAAGAATGAAATTGGAATACTTTCTTATACCACACACAATAATAAACTCAAATGTATTAAAGACCTAAATGTCAGACCTAAAAGCATAAAATTCCTAGAAGAAAGAATACACAGCAATTTCTTTGACATCAGCTGTAGAAACATTTTTCTAGATATGTCTCCTTTGGTAAGAGAAACAAAAGCAAATTAAACTTCTAGGACCACACCAAAATAAAAAGCTTTTGCACAGTGAAGAAAGCCATCAAGAAAAGAAAAAGAGGGCAGCAGTGGGGGTGGCTCAACGGTTTAGCACAGCCTTAAGCCCAGGGCGTGATCCTGGAGACCCGGGATCGAGTCCCACGTCGGGCTCCCTGCATGGAGCCTGCTTCTCCCTCTGCCTGTGTCTCTGCCTCTTTCTCTTTCTGTATCTCTTATGAATAAGTAAAATCTTAAAAAAAAAAAGAAAAAGATAATCTACCAAATGGGAGAAGATATTTGCAAATGATCTATCTGATAAGGGGTTCATACCCAACACCAACTCAAAACTGAAACTAAATAATGTAATTAAAAGTGGAAGAGGATATGAATAGACATTTTCCCAAAGAAGGCATACAGACCCATGAAAAGATGCTGAACATCACTAATCAATAGGAAAATTAAAATCAAAGCCACAATGAGATCTCACCTCACAGCTGTCAGAATGGTTGAAATAAAAAACACAAGAAACAACAGGTGTTGGTGATGATGTAGAGAAAAAGAACCCTCGTACACTGTTGGTGGGAGTGCAAGCTGGTGCAACCAATATGCACAATAGTCCGGAAGCTTTTCATTTTTTTAAAAGATTTTATTTATTTATTCATGATAGACATAGGGGGAGAAAGAGGCAGAGACACAGGCAGATGGAGAAGCAGGCTCCATGCAAGGAGCCTGATGTGGGACTTGATCCCGGGACTCCAGGACCGCGCCCTGGGCCAAAGGCAGGCGCCAAACCGCTGAGCCATCCAGGGATCCCCCAGAGGCTTTTCAAAAAATTAAAAATAGAATTATCATATGATCCAGTAATTACACTACAGGGGATCTACTCTAAGAAAATGAAAACACTAATTTGAAAAGATACATACACCCCAATGTTTATTGCAACATTATTGACAGTAGCCTAGATATGGAAGCAACTCAAGTGTACATCAATAGATGAATGGATTAGAATGTTGGTTTCATATAATTATATTTTATATAATTATATATAATACATATATTTTTATATATCTATAAATAGGATATATTATATAAAATTTATATTATATCATAAAATATATATAATTTATATTTGATTATTTATATTTCTATTTTATTTAATTGCATTATAAAATCATAGAAAAATTGTATATTATATATAAAATTCTACATAATTTTTATTTATATTCATATTATTATATTTTATATATTTATAAATATAATATACATTATATATAATTATAAAGTTATATATAATGTATATTATATTATTTTATTGATATTTAATATTTTATTTATATTGCATTAAAAATTATATATAATTTTTATTTATATTATATATATGTAATGGAATAGTATTTGGCCATAAGAAAGAATGAAATCTTGCCATTTGCAACAACAGGGATGGATCCAGAGAATATAATGCTAAGTGAAATAAGCCAAACAAAGACAAATACTGTATAATTTCATTGATATGTAAAATTTAAGAAACAAAACAAATGAACAAAGAAAAAAGAAAAGGGGGACAACAGACTGTTAAGTACAAACTGGTTGGTCAAAGTGTACAAACGTTCAGTTATAAGATGGGTAAGTTCAGGGGATCTAACGTACAATATGGTGACCAGAGTTAATAGTACTGTACTGTGTACTTGACATTAGCTAAGAGAGTAGATCTTAAGTGTTCTCACCAGACATGCACACACACACACACACACACACACACACACACACACACACACAGAGATAAATATGTGAGGAAATAGATGTATCAATTAGCTTGATTGTGGTAATCATTTCACAATGTATATAAAACCGTAACATCATACATCTAAAATATATACAATTTTTGTCATTCATACCTCAAAAAAGCTGGGGAAAAATTAATCTGTTTTCATATTAATAAGATACATTCATATTAAGAGATGTTTTTGAGTTTATAACACCACTAAAAATGATCATAATAAAATTTTTAAAAATTGAAGCAGACGTCCTTCCTCTTTATAGGAGAGTGAGTCGGGCTGTTCAGAGTGCCCCCATCACAGCAGTTCCCTGCCAACTGAGCAACTGGTCAGAGTGGACAGATTGCTTTCCATGTCAGGACAAAAAGGTAAGAACTTGGTGACTGGTTTTGGATTATTTAATATTTGAATGGTGTACTAGGCACCTAAATGGAGATGAACAGGTCTATAAATTTAGAAATCTGGGAAGAAATCAGGTCTAGAAATAGGTATTTGGGAGCCATGGATACCTGGATGGTAGAACTTTTTCTGATTTTGTTTAGAAGCCATTACTGGGTGAGGCTGCAAAAGATAATGTATATTATGTTTTGTGTGCAGAGAGGTGGCCATTCAGACATGGACACACTGATCTCTATGGTCTCTCTGGGTCCTGGTCAATCTGTTAGCCTCCAATGATGATCATCTACAGGGGCTAATGACGCATGGGGGAGCCAAGATAAACCAGAGAATGTTCCTAAGGATTCTACGTTTACAGACTGAAAAGGCTGGCACACCCAATGAATGCACATGAGTCTATCTTGCCCACCTAAATGGTTTTGAATGGTCCAAAATGGCCACTAACCCCAGTGGCATCTCAAGGGAAGGGGAACTTTGGGAGCACTCGGAGAGGAGTATTCTGACCTTGTTCAGGGGTTACTGGCTCATGGTGATAATAAAAGGCAGAATAACTTCTGTTCTGTTTAATTATATTTTAAGATCTTTACAGACAACACATGCCTTTACTGGATGAGCCCAGGGTAGGATGCCTCCAGGCTCCCACCTCTCTCAATCGGTATACTACTGCCTAAAGCATGTCTATTGGCACATTACTATCAAGTCTAAGTGTTTAAGCACTGATTCTCCAGCTTAGATTCTGGCTTTGCACCTTATTTGCTGTGCTACTTTGGGCATATATTTTATCCTCTCTATGCCTCAGATTCCTCATCTATAAATGGAAGTAGTAATAGTACTTATAGCATAGAGTTACTATGAGAGTTAAATGAGTAAGGTATACAAAGTGCTTTTCATGGCACCTTGGCATATAGTGAATGTTCAGTAACTCTTAGCTGTTTTTATAATTAACTAGCCATGTCCCCTTCTCCACTGCCTGAATCAAGACCGGCTCTTTTCTCACCTGAGCTTCTCCAGAGTGTTTTCTCCTGCCTCCAGACCTGCTCCTCAGTTAGGTATAGGGCTACTCTGTGAAGGCTTGATGAGTTGTTCAAAATCACATGGAATTCAAAATCATTACAGGTGGAAACACAATTTGGACCTAGTTTATTCAGCTTCTAAGCCTGAAATTATTTATTCTGCCTCTCTTGTTTCTGAGATATGCCAAAGATTCCTAGACTGCACTGCTCAAAAATATCTAGCTCCCAAATCTCATTTTGCTTTGATATCCTATGTTAGTTTTCTGAATCTGCTGTAACAAATTGCCACAAACTGGGTTGCTTAAAACAACAGAAATGTATTCTTTCACAGTTCTGGAGGCCAGAAGTTTGGTAGGGCCATGCTCCCTCTGGAGAGTCTAGGGGAGAGTCTGTTCTTTGCCTCTTCTGGCTTCTGGTGGCCATCAGCAATCCCTGATTTATGGCCAATCTCTGTGCTCCAATCTCTGCCTCTGCAGCCATATCACCTCCTCCTCTTCTGTGTGTCTACTTTGTATGTCTGTGTTAAATCTCCCTCTGCCTTTCCCTTATAAGGATACTGTGAGGACATTTGGGCCTACCTGGCTAATCCAGTATAATCTCTTCATTTCAAAAAGCTTAATAATATCTGCAAAGACCCTTTTTCCAAATAAGGTAACATTTACAACTTTCAAGGACTAGGATTTGACTTCTTTGCATGGCCATTATTAACTTCTTATATATTCTAAACTCTCTATCTATATCTATATCTAGATAGATAGATAGATGATAGATATAGATATATTTGTCCTGTGTTGCAGCTTAGATAACAGATATCACAGGTGAATGATTTACTATTTAGATCAGAATTGAATTACTCCTTTCACTACTCAAAAAGACATATGTGTCTATTTTTTTGAAAGATCTTTTATTTATTTGAGAGAGGGAGAGAGAAAGAGAACACGGGGGGTGGGGGTGGGGTGTGGTACAGAGGGAGAAGCAGACTCCCTGCCAGAACCTAACCTGGAGCTGAATCCCAGGACCCTGGGATCATGACCTGAGCCAAAGGCAGATGCTTAACTAGCTGAGCTACCCAGGCACCCCAACATATGTGTCCTTAAAATAATCCTTAAAATCATTAAATTCTGTTAATTACTTAAGTGAAAGACCACCCTAGTTTCTTCTTATTAATGTTTTTTTCTCCCTCTCAAAATCACCCAAAGATGTGCATTTCTGGAAAGAAACATTATCAACCAGCTAGAAAAGAAAATTATGTCTTAATGATACCAACACAGGCACCAGCACGGAGAAGTCTCTAAGGGAGTATCTGCACCAACCTCTCTGCAGCACAATGTCTTCATTATTTGATAACAACCCAGAAAATGGGAATTCAGTGGGAATGAACCTTGTGTCTGTACCAGCATTCCAATACAGAAACCACAAGAAGGATGATAATGGCATTTATAGTTACCATTTATTAAATAATTTTTATATATCAGGCACTGTGCTAATGCTTTAGTAAATTGTCTTAGTTGACTTTCACAGCCTAACTCTAAGATACCATTGCCCTTTTGGTTAGGTCACCAATAGAGACACAGCCTAGATTTAACTCTTGGTCAGTCGGATTCGAAAATGCCCATGTGCCTAACCACTTCACTCTACTACCTCCCCTTGAACTCTGTGAAGAATCATAATGATATTAGTGGCTATCTAATCCAATCCCCACTCAGTCATAAATCCTTCTGGAGTAGCCCAACAGCTGGCTACAAAAATGATGCTGATGTTGATAACTATTACTAATGAGTGCACTCCAGGAAACAGGCCAAGTGCTGACTTCTATACAAGTCTTATCACTAATCTTCACAAGACTCTCCTATCTCTCCTTCTACAGATGGGAAAACTGAGGGTCAGAGATGTTAAGTAATTTATCTAGTGATGCACAGAGAGTGAGCAGCAGAACTGGAATTCCAACCCAGCTTAAAAATGGGATTCAGAATAGTCTTTAACCTCCTCAACTTGTGAGGATTAAATGAGATAAAGAATGTGAAGTATCCCGCCAGTAGTGAGCACTCAATAAATGGTAGCTATATAGCCATCATCATGTTGGTAACTGCAGTTCTTAAAACTCGGATGAACATTATGAAGAGTGACAAAATTTGGCTCTATATTAGTATGCTGAGTAGCGCTTTACATACCGTATCTTGGCAAGATGTGGGAAGAGAATTAAAATATCCTAATATTCCCAAACTGATTGTTAATTCTAATCTCTTCCCATTAAGTTTACAAATCTCTTATCACTCTTATTAACTGGGAGGCAGGAAAGGCAAATGGACAGGTTTGCTTTTCACCTTTTTTGCTACTCCTGTCTCTTTACTCTTGAGCAGTTGCAGAGGCAAAAGTAGGCAAGAGGAGAGAGAGGGGAAACTGCATGCTTCACACGCACCCACTGGAATCAGCTGGAAAAGACTCCACTGATAATGATGGGGAGAGCACTTCTTATTGAGCACCAATGATATGCCTGACACAGGGCTAGGTGCTTTGCTCACACATTCTCTCACTTAGTTCTCACAACACCCTTTCAAAGTGAAGGGTCATCACATCTACTTTACATATTAAAAAACAGGAACTCAGAAAAGGTAAGTGGCTTGCTTATGGTGAATTGGTAAGTGACTCTGTGAACCCAGTCAGTCTAAATTCTCATGCTCATGCTCTTTCACCTACAGGGAACAGGTGAAACAATCATTAGCAACTGTAATTGGTGAGGTCATCTTGATCAACCACCTCATTTTACAGATTTGGGAACTGAAGCACAAAGTATCAGGCATTGATACTTTATATAGCAAGTAAGAAATAGATTCAGGAATAAACAAACAAACAAACAAAATGCAGAACTAGACCTATAAATACAGAGAACAAATTTATGGTTTCCAGAGGGCTGGGGATGGGGAAGATGGGCAAAATGGGTAAGGGAAGTGGGAAATATAGGCTTCTATTTATGGAATAAGTAGGTCATGTGGATAAAAAGTACGGCATAGGGAATGTAGTCAATGGTATTGTAACAGCATTGTATGGTGATAGCTATGCTTGTGAACATATAACAGAGAAGTTGAATCACTCTGTTGTGCAATTGAAATTAAAGTAATATTGTGCACCAACTATACTGGAAGGAAGGAAGGAAGGAAGGAAGGAAGGAAGGAAGGAAGGAAGGAAGGAAGGAAGGAAGGAAAGAAAGAAAAGAAAGAAAGAGGCTAGGAATTCACTTTCTTTGCTGTTCAAACCACTGCTTTCCTACTTAGTTCCGAACAGTTTTGAAAGAAAAGCTTGTAGGCTGGGCCAAGGCAAGAGGCGGCAGAATATATGGAGCTCTCCATTCAGCATGTTTCCTATGTTAACTATTTTATCTTCTCAACTAGACGCTAAGCTTCTTTTTTTTTTTTGACGCTAAGCTTCTTGAAGGTGGGGATGGAATTTCATTTTTCTCTGGATATCCTAGTGCTCAGCTTCCTTCTTCTACATTAGTGCCCAAAGCTGTACACCATATAGAAAGTAGTATCATGAAACCATAGAGCTCCAAGATTGGTATGCATTTTTATTCTTTCTGTCTTTCTTTGAACAAGAATTTGTTCATGTGCAGTCAAAGCTGGACCCAGGGACTCAAATGATGTCTCTATCTCTTGGATGGGCTCTTTCTACCTAGTAGGCTAGATGACCACTTGATGCCCACAGTTCCTAGTAACTTCAGAAAAAAAGATACTGTCTTTTCCAATAGTTCAAGAAAATCTTCTGAGAGAATAATGATTGCTCTAAGGTTGAGTCATGATCCCAAAGCCAATCATTGCAATTTGGCAGATGTGGTACCCTGGTTGATCCGGCCTGGATCACACATTCCTGTGACTCAGGGGGTGATATCAATGCCACTCGAACCATATGAGATATGTCCCAAGGAAAGAGGATGCCATGACCAGAAGAAATGTTGCAGAGGGAAAGCAACAAACATCTTATAAAAGTACCTCTCACGTACATGACCATAGATTAAGTGTCAAGTGTGTGAAACCAAATAAGACATGGTCCTCCTTTTGCCACTCCATCCCCTGTTTGCAAACTATTCTTAAACTAGTGAGAAAGGTAAATAAACAAATAAGTTGACCAGGGATGACAAGTGGGAAGAGAGAAGGAGGCACAGGGAACTATAAAAAATGTAGAGGAGGTACACTGGGAATCATGAAACATGAATAGGTACTAACTGGTTGAAGAGGTGGGGAGAGAAGGTCCTTCCTAACAAGTAAAAAGAAATATTTTGTTCAAGTCTTTCATTTGATCTTTGGAGGACCTATTCAACATTCCCACTGGTTATTGTGCCACCCCTGGCTGAACAACACCACTTAGTAACACCCATCCCCTCAAAAGACAGCTTTTTAGGCAGCTCTCAATCATCAGACAGTTATTCCTTATGTTGAGCCGAGACCCGCCTGCACAAATCTTGTTTGATTGATAGACAGTGAATCTGTCTGGTTCAAAATCTGATTTAGTACCGATACCGGAGCCTCCTGCAACCAGACAAGTTTGGGGGAACCATCTGCAGTGGTGATGTCTGGGATCAAGCCAGCTGTCACAGTCCCACAGCTTGTCTACACCAAGCACAGTGTGGACAGGATTTCCAGTGTAAGGAGACAGGTGAGTAGCATTCCAGTGGGATAACAGCTGTGCCCTGTCAAACTAAATGTGCAAAAACAGTCACCCAGGAGCTTGTTCAAATGCCGACTCTCTAGCTCTTCCCCTAGTGGCTGTCATTCTGTAGGTTTGGGGTGGGGCTCAGGAAGCTACGTTTTAAGCCAACCCACCCAGTATCCCAAGTAATTTTGATATAAGTTTGTAGGAACATCCATTGATTAAATTCTAAATTAATTCACTCATTCATCCTTTCATTAAATAAATATTGATTGGGCACATATGTGCCAGGCAGTGGGCTACCTGCTGGTGACACAGAAGATGAAAAGGTAATGTGCCTGACAATGAGGTAGCCCTAGTGTCTTTGGGAGTGAGACCTACAAGGAGTCACAGGTCTAGTCGTAGACCTACAAGGAGACAATACTGTGTGATTGCCAGTGTAACGGGCATAGGCCCGTGGGTCAATGGCTCTCACTGGCTAGGAATGACCAAACTGTGTTGGGGAGTCAGAACAGGCTTTAAAGTGGCACTTGAGCTGAGACTTAGAAAGTAGCAATGAATTAGCGAGGAGAAAGAATATGCAAACACACACAGGGATTTAAGGACTGGCAATGGGTGCAGAATGATTGCAGGTCAGGGCTTTGGGAAGAGAGATAGGGGATGGGTCTGGTAGGGAACAGAGGGCCATACTGTGGCATTTGGAAGAACAGGAATGGAAGTCATGGAAGGATATAGAGCAGGGGAATGACATGGCCACTCTGATATTTTAGAAAGATCACTGGAGCTGCCACGTGGAGGATGAGTTTTAGAGGGGAGCCTGCTGCGGGGCCTGAGCTGGGAGTGGGAGCTAGGAGTAGGAAACAGGGTGGAAGGAGGGCAGAGGACAGAGAGATGAAGAGGGGTGAGGGGCTGCTTGGGAAGTGGGATGGATGTGGTGACTCTGGATGTGGGTCACGGGGGAGAGGGAGGAGTCTGAGAAGCTCCCACAGCCTCTCCTCTCTCTTAGGTCGCTGCCTGAAACGCCACCTTGTGTGTAATGGAGATAAGGATTGCTTTGATGGCTCTGATGAGGATGACTGTGAAGATGTCAGGGTGGCTGAAAATGACTGCAGCCAGTATGAACCCATTCCAGGCTCAGAGAGTGCGGCCTTGGGGTGAGTCTTGCCTTCCAGCTGTTTGGGGACACAGAATGGTTTCTCTTCCATCACCAGTATTATTTTGAGAACAGAAGAGGATCCTTTGGCAGTGCATCCCATGAGGCAGCCCTCTGAGGTAGCGTGATGGTCCACTTGGGCTACTATGACAAAATGCCACACATTGGGTGGCTTCTAAGCAACAGAAATTTATTTCTCATAGTTCTAGAGGCTGGATGTCTGAGGTCAAAGTGATGGCAGGATTGGCTTCTTTTGAGGCCACTCTTCTTGGCTCATCGATGGCTTTCCTTCCATGTGTGTCTGGGTCCTAATCTCTTTATCCTTTTTAAAGATTTTATTTATTTGAGAGAGAGAGTGAGAGAGCATGGGGGGAGGGGCAGAGGGAGAGGCAGAAGCAGACTCCCACTTAGCAGGGAGCCCATCCCAGGGACACTGGGCTCCATCCCAGGACTCGGATCACGACCTGAGCTGAAATCAAGAGTTGGATGCTTAACCAGCTAAGCCACCCAGGCACTCTTCTTCTTCTCCTCCTCCTCCTCCTCCCCCTCCTCTCCCCCCCTCCTCCTCCTCCCCCTCCTCTCCCCCCTTCTTCTTCTTCTTCTTCTTCTTCTTCTTCTTCTTCTTCTTCTTCTTCTTCTTCTTCTTCTTCTTCTTCTTCTTCTAAAGATTTATTTATTTGAGAGAGATAGAGCATGCAAGCAGGGGTAACGCAGGAGAAGAGAGAGAGAGAGAATTCTTAAGCAGACTACCCATTGAGCACCGAACCCAACACAGGGGTGCTCAATCCCAGAACCCCAAGATCATGACCCGAGCCAAAATCCAGAGTCAGCCACTTAACTGACTGAGCCACCCAGGTGCTTCCTAATCTCTTCTTATAAGGACACCAGTCATATTAGATTAGGGCCTAACAGCCCCATTTTAACTCAATTGCCTACGTAAAGACCCTCTCACCAAAATACAGTCAAATTCTGAGGTTTTGGGGCCAGGACTTCAACATCTAAATGTTAGACACAATTCAGCCCCTAATACTAATAAAAGGGGATTTTGTTTATTTTGAAAGTGATTGCGGGTAAATAGAGGAGAAGCATGAAATGGTGAGTTGTTAATTTGAAAAAAAATTCCCTCCTTATTGGCAAAAAGGTTGAAGACCATGATCTTGCTCTCATGTGATTCAAAGGAGCATTTGAATACACTTCCCAAGTGTGCTTTGCCCACACTGAACACCGACATCAACACAATGGCCCCACCTCCACTCCCAATAGCTGACACTTTGAGTTTTTCATTCTGCCAAGATCTCAGAAGGCTTTCCTGGTGTCCTTTTTTCGTTTTTTAATTTAAGGATGTCACAGTTTTTAAATTTTTATTTATTGCCACAGAAGTAATACATGTTTGTGGTAAAAACCAAAAGTCTTCCTTCATCCTCCCCAATCTGTACCCCAGAAGGCCACTTCTTCCTACTTCCTTCCCTGGAACTGACTGACGCCCGTCAACAGTTTGGTGTAGGACTTTCAGATCATGTAAAAAATACACTGACAATATACAATGCATGGAAGATATGCCTATAAGTATTGTACATGATACCCATAAGTATATTTTACATAAATGTGATCATACTATACATATTGTGTGTAACTTGATTTTTACTTAACAGTATATTTTGAAGGTTCCCTCCACCCCCATTTTCTACTGTCTTTTTCTAAGAAACATAGTGTTCTATAGCAGGGGTCAGCAAACTGGCCTGAAGGCCAAATTCAGGCTGCTTCCTATTTTTGTAAATAAATGTTTATTGGGACACAGCTTTCATCCCCCAATGATGGGTGTTGAGTATTTGCAACAAAGACCCATGGGCTATATAAAGCCCATGTTTAATATCTGGCCCTTTATAAAAAAAAGTTGCTGACTCTTCTCCCATAGTATAAATACATGAAAATATATTTGTTTACTTCCTATTGAAAGATAATTAGCTTGTTCCCATTTTCCCCTCTTATAAACAATGCTGCAAGGAACATCCTTGTACCTTTTCTTTGTATGTGTGTGAGTATTTCTGCACAGATTTCCTAAAAGTGGAATTTCTCTCTGTCTTTTCACTTTCACTGGGTCTTCTGCAATCTGCTTTTCTAAATATACATGGCTTAGTAACCTCATATGCTTAGAGGTTATAATTATAATCTTAGGAGTAATTATTTCTTTGAATTTTTGTTTAGCTCACTAGAGAGTCTATATTTATAAGCTAAAAGCAGAAACATGTTTAATGGGCAAAAAGGAAAGTAAGGGGGCAAAGTAAAGGGAAGGCACCCAGATTTTGTATCAAAAAAAAATTTAGCTGTGACTACAGGCGAATTACCTACTTTTCCTGAGCTTCAATTTCTGCATTTACAAATTGTCATGAGGTTGAAAGTTAATGAATGCTGAATGTCTGGTAGAGTGTGTATTCAATTCACCATAGCTATTACCACATCACTTCCATTAATATGAAGAAAGAGATGGAGAGAGGAGGTGAAGAATGAAGGTAACATACCTTGAATTTCTACTGTATGCCAAGTGCTCTATAATTATCCATTTATTCCTTTGAGGCAGGTATTATTCATAGTTAACCCCCTGCTCATCTTCTGCCCTTGTGCCTTTTCACTGAGGGAACGAGCAAATATGACAAATGCTATACCAAAGGCAATCACTGAATGCCATGAGAACACAGAGGAAGCAACAATACTCTGTCCAGGATAATCATAGAAGGTCAGATAGAGGAGGCAATGTTTGAGTTGGGTTTAAAAGGCTGCATAGGAGTTTGAAGGGCAGAGACAAGCAAGCATTTTATTATCTATATCAGAAGAGGCTTTGATTGTTAGGCCTTAGATCTCTTAGCCAAATTGAAATGGTTTTGTTCAGTTAACTCTCTCCTTTGTAGAAGATTAAGGCTTTCTTTCATCTGTGTAACACTGTTCATGCCTCAATATAGTTCAGTCATCTATAGCCTAAAATGTAGTTCTTGGGCAGATGGATGTGAAATGCCTCCCAGAGGGTGAAGTGAAGGAAAGTGTTTCTGGAAGGGTATTGGGCTAGAGGAGAGGAAGTATCATTTGTGGAGTGCCTAATATGTTTTATAACTTTGCTTCCATTTTACTTTTTGTTTTCCCTTTTTTTTCCATTTTACTTTAATACTCTCATTTAGACTTCACAAAAAACATGAGAAGTAGTTTTATTATGCCTGTTCTTCAAATGAGGAAAATAAGCTTCAGAAAGCATCTAGAATGTGTCCAGATTCACACAGCTAGTATGTGACAGAGCTAGAAATTAAACAGGAGTCTCCATGATCTTCAAATCACACCCTCTGCTGTTCCATGCCACCTTGAAGACAACAGCCTTTCTGAGGATTAGAGTCTCAACTTGGTACTGAGAGTCAACATGTCAAATCTATTTTTTACCAGCAGAGCTTTTCTGAAACAGCATAAAGATAACAATAGCAACATTTATTCAGTATTTGATATATGCTAAGTACTTTCTGGTTCCTTTGTATGTTGTAACTCATATTTAACTCTCTGAGGGCAGCTGTATTAACTGCTTTTTATAAATGACTAAACTGAGGCATAGAGAGGTTAAATGATTTGCCCAAGGTCACATAGTGAGGTTTAGCAGAGCTGGGATATGGGTTCAACCTGTTGGACTCTGTTATTGGATTTCTGATAATTGTGCCTATTCTGTAACTCACACAACAAATTTTTAGGAGTACCTTCTCTGTGGGAGCATCGTTGTAGGCAAGGATAGAGCTGTCAGCTGCTCTGGTCAAAGGGAACTGGGGCCCAGCTGAACCCACTGAGGTTTCCAGTGTTACCCAAAGTGGAATTTAAGGTACTTTGAGGAACCCGAGGGCTCCACCCAGAACCAAGTCTGAGAAGCCACTGCTTGGACCAGCAATAACGTCTTCTGGAAGAGAGTTTATGCTATCTTGGCCTTTTCAGTGTTCTCTCCCAGAAGCTATCTGCCTTTTTGATTTAGATACAATATCCTGACCCAGAAAGAAGCTCAGCATGTGTATGACCCCAGGTATTATGGGGGCCAGTGTGAGACAGTATACAATGGGGAATGGAGGGAGATTCGATATGACCCCACCTGTGAGCGTCTCTACTATGGAGAGGATGAGAAGTACTTCCGGAAACCCTACAACTTCCTCAAGTACCACTTTGAGGTAAGTCTGCATGGGGTGCTCACAGGCTACTGGAGGGTGGGGGCGGGGAGAGAGAGGCCTGTGGATGGAGATGGACTCCTTGATTTGGAAGGTTCTAGTTGCCATAGAGCTTGCTGGCGGCTGAAGTTCCCCTGACATCTGCCCCTATGCATGCTCCATGCTGGAGGGCACTGACAATGAGGGCAGGGCCAATGACAGGCAGGACAGAAATGTGACCATCCACTTGCTACATCTTGGCTCCATTCCATAATCAATGACACAGATCCCGGGTTCAGTTCTCATAAGGCCTGTTTCCATGTTGTGCTCTTGTAGAATATAAGTATTTGGGACCTTGAGCAGATCATTGCCCCTCCCTGGGCCCAGTTTCCTGCCATGTAAATTAGGGATCAGGACAGGAGGTGTCTGGGTAGGGTTCTGAGCCCAAGGCCCCCAGTTTCACCAAGAGCAGCTCCCCACTGATCACCTTCTTTCTTTCTTTTTTTAAATTCCAGTATAGTTAGCATACACTATTATATTACTTTCATGTGTACAGTATAGTGATTCAATAGCCCCACAGGATACCTGTGCTTATCAGGTTAAGTGCACTCTTAATTCTCTCTTCCTGTTTCACTCATCCTCCCCCTACCTCCTCTCTGCCAACCACTTGTTTGTTCTCCATATTTAAGAATCTTTTTTTTTTGTTTCTTTTTTCCTGTGTTCATTTGTTTTGTTTCTTATATTCCACATTTGAGTGAAATCACATGGTGTTTGTCTTTCTCTGATAACTTTCTTATCTTGGTTTTCCATATGTGATTTTTTTTTCCATATGTGATTTTGTTTAAAGAAAGGGATCTGCTGTTGAGAAGTGCTTGCAAAATGCTGCTGATCCCTAAATTCCATCCATCTCTAAAATTCTGTGGTGTTCTGGTCGCTCAGAGCGCAACATGGCTCATGACCAGCTCCAGGGCCTCTACTCCCAACCATTCCTTGCTGTACCCCTTACCCTCTAGGTAAGATAGCTACACAGACAGCTTCACTGGTTGCTCACATGTACCAGATCATACACTTCCACACAAATTGTCTCATTTAATCCTCACAAACACAATGAGGTATATGTTATCATTGCCCCATTTCAGATATGAAAAGACCAAGAGACTTAGAGGGATAAAGTATCAGGCCCAAAGGTATGCTGCAGTAGGTGGCAGAGACAAGATTCAAACCCAGATTATCTCAATGAAGCCTGGCTATAAGTCATTTAAAAGGAAAGACAGATTATACACATTACATGCATATAGTCATATGCATTCTTTCTTTGCAGAGAGATGGTAGGATCCAGGGATTCTGAACAATTACTAGTTACATTCCCCCTCCCCCAACTTTCTCAAGAAAAAAGTACTGAAGACAGGACAAGTCCACCCCACTCCTTGCTTTGGAATATTCTATTTCCCCATCCCACTTCCACCCCTACTTCCCTACCCCACTTGCACTGCTACCATCAAGCCTATGGTAAGCTGAGCTGGAAGACACAGACAATGCCATTTCCCTAACCTTGAAGATAGTCTGAGGCTTATGTGTCCAGCAAGACAGACTAGGCTATGCTGTGGCAACAAAGGATTCTGAAGTCTCAGTGCTTTAAAGCAGCAGTGGCCCTATGCTACATGTCTATCCTAGGGTGGAAGGGGAACTCATCATCACAGACACTTGGGATCCAAACTAATGGAGGTTCTATCTCAACACATGCTTCTGTGATTGCAGAGCTAACCACTTGTGCTTAAGCCTTACTCTCTTGGCTTAGGCCAGGAACAAAGCCATGCCTCTGTTCAAGCTGGAAGAGAAGTGCAACCCTACCGTGTGCCTGGAATGAAATAACCCTGCATTTGTGGGCAGCACTAGAGCATACTTTGCCTGCAACTCCCACCACCTGCTCTCCTTCCTTGACCCTTTCCTCCCAGATCTGCACCCAGATGTGGCTTTCTGGATATCTCCATTGCAGAGATAGGTGATCTCCCCTACAGGAAGGATAAGTCAGCTGGAAAAAAAAATCTGTATTCAAACAATATAGCATTTTATCAGAATCATGAGTTGTGTGTATGTGTGTGTGTGTATTTAAAAATAAATTTTTTTAGCACTGCCACTAAGCAATAACTAAACTAACTGCTGTATTTTTGGTATTTTAGTGAGTGAGCATCAATCTGACGCCTGGAGTAGCCTTTTAAAGTAATTATTTATAATAATCTGCAACTTGAGATATTTTACAGAACAAAGATTTAAATATGAAGCACAAATTGTAATATAACTTATGTGCACAAAGCTAACATCTGTTTGCTTCTTTTCAGGCGCTGGCAGATACTAGATTCTCTTCAGAGTTATATGATGATGCACATGACCTTCTTTCTAAAGTAAAAAATAACAACTTTGTGTCGACCGGAGTGACTGTGGGTGTGAGCTTCACAGACAGCTCTGTAAAGGTGGATGTGGGTGTATCCAGTTCACAAAACTCTTCATCCTTGGATGAGTTAAAGAAGTATAATAAGAAGGTATTAAAGCATAATGCCTGTGTCAAACAGTATTCCATAATCTGCACTGAACATGTATTACCTTAATTGCATTAAAAAGTACAGTAGTAATTGAACTGCACTTGCTTGTGTAATTGGAAATGTCTGATCAGTGGTAATCATGTTTGTTTTTCTTATTACGCTTTTGGACACAGAATCATCACAAAGGGAATAAAATTAAATGATAAGAGTAGAACTCTTATCGCTTCACCCCATTCTTTTTCATGGTTACCTGGAGCATACAGGGAAATACTTAGAATAGTAATGGCTTAAAGGGAAACAGCCAGGCCCTGTGAACTAGATTTGGAAGCATCCTAAAGCAAGCCAGGCTTTTCTGAATAGATTGGAGGACTGGCATGCTCTATCAATCATTCATTTATTTATCAGACATTCACCACTAACTTCCTATTAACCTAAGTGACCGGGCAATGCTTCCTTGAGGAACGGACATCCACCTAAACTGGCATCAATTTTTTTTGTATTTTTAATAATTTTTTTTAAAAAACTGGCATCTAAAGACTAGTACAGGCTGTCCCAATGAAGTGAGGTGGAAGTTAGTAGTGGATGTTCTGGGCCAAGGGAACAGCATTGCACAAAGGCCTAGAGATGACAGACTGCCTCACACAAATTTGGGATTGCAAAGACTTCAACCAGCTGACCCACAGGATGGGAAGGGAAAGTAGGGAGTGACAGAGATGGAGAAATCATCTGGTAAATATTTACTGAATTGATTAAAAGTTTACCAAAAGCCTCAACAGTATTGATACCAGAGCTGTAGATTTACTTGGAGCTCAAAACATTATTCTGGATGATGACAATACAGTTATGAAAATTAACTTATCAACAGATATAAATTACATCTGGGAGCTTTGCCACAAGCAAAGTTAGCTGTCGCTCTGAAGGGAAAGTATGGTTCTGAGATCTGGCTATCACATGGTCATGTGGACTTTTCTCAAAGCAGGTGGCCTTTTCAAAATTTCACTATCACTTTGGATCAAGGTTTACTTGGAAGCAATGGCCATACACGATCCTCTTCTTAATTTTTTTTTTTTGAGAGAGAGAGGGGGAGAGGGGCAAGAGAGCCTGAACGAGAAAGGGGCGGGGTGGGGGAGAGAGAATCTTAAGCAGGCTCTATGTTCAGCATGGAGCCTGATGTAGGGCTTGATCTCATAACCCTGAGACCATGACCTGAGCCAAAACCAAGAGTCCGACGCTCAACTGACTGAGCCACCTAGGCACCCTGATCCCCTTTCCCTTAAACCAATCCAATATTACCCCATTCTTATCTTTTTTATTATCCCAGGAGCCTGCTTCACTTTATTACTTAACAGTACAAGATTACCACTAGAACATAAGCTCTATGATGGGAGGGGTCTATGTCATTCAAGATGATGTCCTCTGCTCCTAGCATAATGCAATTGACTAATGCAAGGCTCTTACTTGTTCAGTAAGTTCCCTAAATAAATAATGTTGGCATTCCATGTCATCAAAAATATTCCTAAGCATAATTTTTCATGGATACTGAATATTTGTGTAGGAGGTTGCTTTGTGCCATGTAGTAATTAGAGCAGGGAACTGTGTGGAGGTGACAATGGACTGGGGACAGAACAGAGTGAGCAGCACCGTGGAGTGCGTTGCAGTAATCAACCCAGTTGAGAGTTGAGAAGGGGACCTGAACAGGGGTAGGGGGAACAGAGATGCAGGCACAGGAGAGGCAGCCAGGCACATCCTGGTGTTTAATACATGCCTGTAAAATAGAATAATACTTCATTATGTGTATTTATGTTCATATGTTTATATATATATGTCATAAGTTTATGACATAGTCACTATATATAGTCATATGTTTATATATAAATTTATATGTTTATATATATAAACATATTTCCCATATATATATTCCCTATATATATATATATATGAACATATTTCCCATAGCTCCTAAATGCTGCCTTTCACATCATGCCATGTAATAAAATGTGTACTCTTTCTTCTTTTCCCTTATTCCATGGTGGTGGTTGTTGGCAGAAATATAGCTTCCTCAGAGTTTTCACAAAGGTGCAGACTGCTCATTTTAAGATGAGGAGAGATAATATTGTGCTGGATGAAGGCATGCTGCAGTCATTAATGGAACTTCCGGAGCAGTACAATTATGGCATGTATGCCAAGTTCATCAATGACTATGGCACTCACTACATAACGTCTGGATCAATGGGCGGCATTTATGAACATATCCTGGTGCTTGACAAAGAAGAAATGGAATCACAACGTAAGTAGAACAGCAGCTTTATGCACACAGTGGCCAACACATGGTGTTGCAGTTTTCTGAGCGCTGACTATGAACCACATATGATCTCATTTGAGAAAACCGTATAAGGTAACATACCTAATATTTGTGCAGGAGGTTGCATTGTGCAGTGCTGTAATCAGAGCAGAGAGACCTGTGGAGGTGACAATGGACTGGGGGCAGAACAGGGTGAGGAGCACCAAGAAGGACATTGTAGTAAACACCCCAGTTAAGAGTATTATTATTTATAGGGAACTGAGGGCCAGAGGGGTGAAATGACTTCCTAGGAAGCATCACAAACAGTATTTGAACTCAGACTTGTCTGGCTCCCCAAGACTATGTGTTTTCTATTGCACTACAATTACCTCTTTGATAATAATAAATAATATTTGGGATTTTGTTATTTACAATGTTAAACCTTGGGGATGCCTGGGTGGCTCAGTGGCTGAGCATCTGCCTTTGGCTCAGGGTGTGACCCTAGGGTCCTGGGATCAAGTCCCACATTGTCTTCCCCACAGGAAGCCTGATTCACCCTCTGCCTGTGTCTCTGTCTCTCCTTCAATGTCTCTCATGAATAATCTTTAAAAAATGTTAAAACTTGTTATAAATATAGATCCTTGGTTAATAGAACTGCCATATAATCAGTCAGTGATGCTAGAAACCTGGAGTCATCCCATATTCCTCCTCTCGTTTACCCCTGCAGATCTCAGAGAACCTTCAATTCTGGCTCTGGACTAGCCTTCATACCTGCCACCACCACCCCCTCCCCCAACCGTCTCCTCCACCCATCCAGTGGTAGGCTGGGTTCTCACCTGTCACTTATCACTGCATTGGCTTCTAAATGGTCTCTAGGGGGACGCCTGGGTGGCTCAGCAGTTAAGCGTCTGCCTTCCACTCAGGGCTGATCCTGGAGCCACAAGATCGAGTCCCATATGGGGCTCCCTGCATGGAGGCTGCTTCTCACTCTGTCTCTGCCTCTGTCTCTGCCTCTCTCTTTCTATGTCTCTCATAAATAAATATATAAAATATTAAAAAAATAAATGGTCTCTAGGGGAAGGCTCACCTCTGCAATCCATTCTCAACAACTGCTTCCAGAATGATCTTTCATTGTACAGATACAATGATATCACTGAGAAAGGCGCTGAATGGGATGAGCACTGGATGTTATACCACATTTTGGGAGATTGAATTTAAATTTTAAAAATGTAATAATAAATAAACAAATAAAAATACATAAAATAAAAAACAAAAAACAATATCACTTCTTTGCCTAAAATCCTGAATAGCGAAACTCCTTAACACAGCATCAACAGCCATCATGGTCTCAGTCTGAATGGCTAGAACAGTGATTCTTGAAGGGTGGATTCTAACTGCAGCATCAGCGTCACCTGGGAACCTGTTAGAAATGTAAATTCTCAGGCTCCCATCCCTATTAAATCAGAAACTGGTAGAGGACCCAGCAGTCTGTATTTTAACAAGCCCTCCAGGTAATTCTGATGCTCACTACAGTTTGAGAATCACTGACCTAATCAATGAGTGAGTAAAAGGCTAAGAGATCTCTCCATATTTCAAAGCTAAATTCAAATTCCCAGTTTCAAGAAGTTTCCCGGACTGCACCAGCTCAAAATGTCCATTTCTTTCCCTCAGCACCTTCATATAAACCTCACACTATTTAGTCTTCAAAAGATAATTTTCCAAATTATAATATTTTTCTCATAAAGATAGCAAGATCTTTGAAAGCAAGGATTATGTCTGACACTTCTTTATCTCTTTAGCACTCAGCACAGCTCTTAGTACGTAGTATGTAAAACAAGACATGGAGTTTGAAAGAGGGCATTAATTTAGATTCCTGGTTAGAGTCATTCATTAATTCATCCATCTATCCATGTATTTATTCTTTTATAATTCAAATATCTCTTGGCTATCTATTATGTGTCTGTGCTACGGATACAATGGTGAGCAAATCTAAATATGGTCCCCATCCTCTTGCAGCAGAGTACTGCCTTCCTAATAGCAGGCCTTAAAATCAATGTATGGATCACAAACAACTTTTTAAATAATAGCAACAAAGGAGAGAATAGAAAATATCACAGAGGATTAGAGGTAGTGAATAGAAGTTATTGCTTGAAGAAATGTTTTCCAGTTAAATAAAGACATACATACATGTATGGAATCATGATACAAAACAAATAGTTTACAATAGATCAATATAAAAAAGGAGTTTGAAAAACTAATTCAAGTAATTCAAGTGGGTCTTTTTAGAATCATCAAAAAATGCAAAGAAGGAAACACAGTTAACATTTGTTGAGGACCTACTAGGTTCCAGGTACTTGAACCTCATTCTCATTTAGTTTTCTTGACAACACGTGGTGGCTGGTAGTATCCCAGTTTTATCCCATAAATGCTGAGGCTCCTCGGGGAGGTTAATTACTTTGCCCAGGGCTGCAGGAAGCTGGCGTCAGAGCCCTGGACCTATGGTCTTTCCACCATGTGGTCCTGGGTAGAGCCTTTCATTTGGGTTCTGTCTTTGGTGTTGGATTACTAATTAATTGTCTGGGGTGTCTCATGGCCCCTCCTCTTTAAAATCTGTGAGGCAGAAATGGGCTTCCAATGTGGTTAATATTCAAAAGGAGCCCACCAACAAATTGTCCCAGGGATAATTACCTCAGCTCTGTTTATAGAAAACCATATGTCGATAATAGCACAATTTGCTATTTGTGAAGAGCTGATTTTCTATAAATCCGGAAAGTTAGTGTTGCTTTTCTATAAATATGGAAATGTGCTAATCATCACCTCATCTGCTGGAGACCGCTAATAAATCAGAATTCCATTTACATATTAACCTACAAAGAACAAAAATATCTACCTTCTTTCCCTTTGACAAATCGAATCATGCATGCTCTTCTTGCCATGTTTGATATTTTTCTAGTTCCTTCTTTGTCTCTGTCATCCTCTGTCTCTCCCTTTCTCTTCCGTGCCTTTCTTTCTCTTTCTTTCTGTCCTTCCTCTTTGTTACTGTCTCTTTCTCTGTATCTTTGATCCATATCAAATAATAATATTTATATTCTATAAAGTGCTTGTTTCTAAGAAACACCCCATGTGGTGTATGTTCATGTCCTCAAAGAGCTGAGCTTGGTATGGAATGATTAAGTGAACACACTGGCTGGTTTGCCCTGGAAGAATCTTTTGTCCTTGGGTTTGCCTCAGATCCTCTCTGGGTTCACCCCAGAGGATGCACAAGACTGTTTTCTCCTAATGTGTCCCTTTAGATAAAATGCTTCTCCCTCAAAGGCAGCATGAAAACATGCATCAAAAATAAAAGGATGTCTTAGAGTTTTCAGTGTACAGGTCTTGTAAAAGTCTCTGAAATAGTAGGACATTGATTAAAGAAAAGAAGATACCAGTAAATGGAAAGATATTCTGTGCTCATGGACTGAAAGAATATTGTTAAAATGTCTATACTACCTGAAGCAATCTACAGATACAATGCAGTCCCTATCAAAATTCCAATGACATTTTTTTTCAGAGAACTAGAGCAAATAGTTCTAAAAATTATGCAGAACCACAAAGATATCAAATGTCAAAACATTCTTGAGAAATAAGAACAAAGCTGAAGGTGTTGCACTCCCTAGTTTTGAACTATACTACAAAGTGGTAGTCAACAAAACAGTATGGTATTGGCATAAAAACTGACATACTGACCGATGGAACAGAATAGAGCCCAGAAATAAACCCACACATACATGGACGATTAATTTATGAAAGAGGAGGCAAGAATATTCAATGGAGAAAGAAAAGTCTCTTCAATAAACAGTGTTGGGAAAGCTGGACAGTTATATGCAAAAGAATGAAACTGGACCACTATTTTATACTATACACAAAAATCAACTCAAATAGTTAAAGGCTTGAATGTAAGACCTGAACCATAAGACTCCTAGAAAAAAACATAGGCAGCAAGCAACTGGTCTTGGCAATTTTTTGGATCTGATTCCAAAGGCAAGGGAAACAAATGCAAAAATGAACAATTGGGATGAGGCCAAACTAAAAAGCTTTGGCTCAGTGAAAGAAAACCTTGACAATATGAAAAGACAATATACTGACTGGGGAAGAAATTTGCAAATGATATATCTGGATAAGGAGTTAATACCCAAAATATATAAAGAACTCATACAACTTAAGAACGAGAAAATAAACAATCCAATTAAAAGTGGGCAGAAAGGGACACCTGGGTGGCTCAGTGGTTGAGCATCTGCCTTTGGCTCAGGGCGTGATCCCGGGGTGCCAGGATCGAGTCCCACATTAGGTTTGCCACAGGGAGCCTACTTCTCCCTCTGCCTATGTCTCTGCCTCTGTGCGTGTGTCTGTCTTAAATAAATAAATAAAATCTTAAGAAAAATTAGTGGGCAGAAAAAAAATGAAGACATTTTTCCAGAGAAGACATAGAGATGACGAACAGGCACAAGAAAAGATTCTCAACATCACTAATTATTAGGGAAATGCAAACCAAACCCTAATGAGATATCACCTTATAGCTGTCAGAAGGGCTATTATCAAAAAGACATCAGGGTCCCTATGTCTTTTTAAATTAGTATTTTCATTTTCTTTGTGTAGATACAGTGTTGTGGAATTGCTGGCTCACGTGGTAACTATTTTTAATTTTTTGAATAACCTCCACACTGTTTTTGCATATTTACCTATTTTTTTGGTGAGAACAATTAAGTTCTATTCTCTTAGCAAATTTTAATTATATAATACAGTCATCAGGTTATATATCAGAACTTATCCATCTTATAACTGAAAGTTTTTACCCTTTCAACAACTCCCTATTTTTCCCACCCTCAGCCCTTATAATCACTTTTCTGATCTCTGTTTCTATGAAGTTGATTTTTTTTGTTTCATTATGCAGCATTTGTCTATGTCTGCCTTATTTCACTTACCATAATTCCTTCCAGGTTCATCTATGTTGTCACAAATGACAGGAT